TCTAGATCGCGGCATCATGCTTAAGAGACCCATGCACAGAGACAAGAGAGAGATGGTGCAAGTGGACTGTATCGGCTGGTTGCCTCTGCCCTCCCGCTCCTGGAATTCACTGGAATTAATTCAATTAGCCGGCGCATTTCGAGGGGTCGGAGCGAAAAACGTGATGGCCGCCGGCAGAAATCTGGAAGGACCTGAGGCATGCCCAACCGCTCATGGCAGCAGTATGAAATATCAGCTCTCTCTGCCAGGCCCCTTGTGGCTTCAATACTTTAGTTGTAAGTGGTTTGAAACTTGATTCACTAAAAAAGGGCTGGCTCACAAGGAAAGATTCCCTTCGAATAGTGCTCGCTAGATAGATAGGGCCAAGGTGGACCGCGAGGACATCCCTTACTAGGGAGAAGTGCGTTTTCGATGCGTCAACACGACCTCTGAACATGTTGGACAAAAATGTGAACCACTGCAACTGCCCGGTGGTCGGTAGACTGTACCGTAGATCCGACTCATTCTGTCGAAGAGCGTTTTTCGCCCCATGGATAGTTGGCGAAAGGTGGGATTGTAGAAGCACCCAAAATCTCGGAGAAGCTGTTGCGACGTTGTCTGCAAGAAAAGCCTGCTACACCCGTACGGTACATTGTTGATTCGTGCGTCCGAGACGCAGAACTGACGCGTGATCAGGGAACGAGAATACCAAGTGTTGTTTCGCTTCGACAACCCAACCACAGTACATACGAAGAACATTAACTTTTCGAGCGCAAACGGGAGGAACATTTTCGGATATTTCGACGACGGTCGACGTTTCCTCCTGTCCGTTACTTTCCGTACAGCAACATGCAAGAGCATCGGAGATGTGCTCGGAAATCACGACATTGATGGAATCGAAAACACCCTCACACGACTCGTCAAGTCACCACTGTGACGCCAACAGGCGGAAGCCAAACGTCAACACACTCACGGCACACTTGGAACTCCCAGTCGGGGAGAGGGAACTACTCGTTTGGGTCGGGGGGGGGGGGGGGGGGGGGGGACCCCTTTTTTGGTTGGCGGAATCTTTTTACCCTTGGACCCCCCTCCCTTTTTAAAAGGGACCCCCTTTCCACCCCCTTATAAAAACCCCCCCAATTTTGGGAACCCTTTTTTTTTTTCCCCCAAACCCCACAAAAAATTTTTGGGCATTTTTTCCCCCGCCC